TAAAACAATATAAAAATATCAATTAAAAAAGGATCTCTCCAAGCTAAGTGAATACACAATAAAATGGCAAATGTGATTCGATCTAAACAACTGTAAAGTGATGCATGTTGGAGCAAAAAAAATCTTAATTTCACATATCTAATTATTTGGCGATCACTTGTAGCCAAGTAAGACACTCATGGTGTCTGGACTGAACCGGGACTTTGGGGTTGTAGTGGATAGTTTTATGAAGAGGTTGACTCAGTGTGTGGCATCTTTGAAAAAGGTATGTTTCATGCTAGTGATCATTAGGAAAGGAGCATTCACCTTTAGTATGTGCCTTGAAGGTTGGGGGTGAGCTTCTCACCAAAACTTTTAATCAGGAAGTTCTAGAAGGTTCTGAACTTTGCTTTCCACAGATATAGGCAACATTTGTGGAACTGCACAGATGACTACTCAAAAAACCAATTACACTACCTGTTTTTCTGCTGGGACGTGACCTTTCGGTTTAGTCGATTAAAAAAGCTCTAGGACAGAGGTGTAAAGGTGTACACCTTTTAATTTTAGAAAATCTCACTATAGTTGATATACATTCTCACTGACATGCCTGTTGCATTTAATCAGGAGATAAAGGATTCCAACCACAGAGTATTTGGCTTAGTCATGGATAGAGAAGAAGCTGGTTCACTCTCATTTTTCATGGCAATTGGTTTTCCCAGTACTACCAACTTGAATCCAGCCGGTTACCTCTCACTGCTCTTATTTCTCCCTGAGTATTTGAATTTCCATTGGTTTCATTAGAAGTTTTAGGTTTGGAAAGAATGTCAAGGGAGGCTCATAATGGTGCTTAGAATATGAAAAGCCGAGCAATTAGCTGAGCACGTGATGCCAGAAAACAGTTTTGGCTGAAAGCCACTCCAAATGTTATTTTCTTTAAATGTCAGTAGTAATGCAAGAGCCACAGTTTCTAGCTGAATTAGATGAAACCATTTGTCTATAATGGCTCCAGGAGACTTGCTACAGCACTGCCACTGCCACAGAAAATGTTCATGCATCTCCCTTCTTAGAGAATGAAAGACATGGTTTCTCTCCTAATCTTTGGGTAGAAAAATCTGGCTGTGTGGGGGTAGCAGAAATCTTTTGCTAATAAATTAAATGAATGCAGGCCTAAAATGTAATTAGTTTCATTTGTTTGCTTGTTCATTTTGAAATTTCTAAACCTAATGTTGATAGAAATTTGTTTGTTTTGTTTTTAGATGGGAAGGGTGAGAATTAGCCCCATGCAGATTTTATGCAAATTTGGTGCCCACCCTTTTTTAGTGATGCAAATCCTTTCTTGGTAAGGCATAATTGGCCACCCTAAAGTTCAACAGCCGTCACTTGTTGACTGACATACACTTGACACATATCTGTGGTCAGATCTCTTGACAACCTTCTTTTAAAGCTTGAAACCAGCCTCGTGTAGGGAGTGGAAAAAATTATTCAAGGTCACACATACTCCCAGGCTGCTATTTGCCTTTTCTGGGGGTGGGGCAGGAAGATGGGCACCCAGATTTTGCCTCTGAGGCTATTACAGGTTTCTGAGGCAAGGGATTTCAATTAGGAAGAGTGTGAGAGAAAGAGTCCATCCCCTAGTGCTGCTGCTCCATCAATTGCCCCCCCCATTCCGCTGTTACACAAATCTACAAGTGTATACTCTTTCAGACAATCACTTGTACACATGTAGAGAGAGTGACAGTTTGGATCTGAGTTCAGCAGAACATGTGAATTCAGTGGGAAATGGCTGAGGCAACATCTTCCCCCAGCCATTCTGCCATTGAAACTTGCACTCTGCTCCAGCTATTTGTCATTAAAAACACGCTTGAGGGAGACTGTTGCATGTGGCAGCCGGATAACATCTAGCCTGGACCCGAAGTGTCTGGGTGACAGTTATCATCAAATAGCCATTGTTTTTTAGGGCAGGCTTTAAAAAATCTAGTGTCACAGTGGAGGTCACTCGTGTTGAATTCTATGGTACAAAAGAAAACTGTATTCAGAGATAGAGAACATGTTAGGTTTTTATTATTATTAAAAAAATAACCCACCCACCCACAAACACAAAGCAATATTTGCACAATTCATATCTCTCATGGAAAAGAGCACAACAATAATAGATGAATATGAAGCACAGGAAGTATAGAACCTACACAGCCCAATTTAGTCTGGGGGGGTCATGACTAATTCGAAATCCATGTTTGTGAATGATCTGTTCACAATTTGTTTCTTCCAAAGTTCATTCCCCCTCATCATGTTCTCCAATTATTTGTTTCACTGTTCTGGATGTTCTTTGATGCTTTGTCTCTCCATGTGAGAGGCAGATAATTTGACCACCCGTGATGTTTACATTTCTTCAGAAGCCAATGGCTCTAACAATGGCTGTGCACAGTAAGTGGTATTTGTGTTCGGTTTTATAATATTTGAATTTTAGACTTTACAAAACCCTGAAACATTATGAAGCGTTGATGAGCCCTCAGGTAGGACTTCACTATTACAGTCTAGCCAGTCTGGTAGTGAGTACCAAATACAGGGGCTTAATACTACAAAATAGGTTATGTAGGTATCACAAACAGGGATTTTTTTAATTTATTGGGTTTTCTGAATAAAATTGGGGGCAGGGGGGAGAGGGAATAGGGGCTGGCATTTTGATGCCAACCACAATGCAGCAAAAACTAAACTAAACTGACATGCATGAGGAGTACCATCCCGTTATGAACACCTGCCTGGAATCACCCACTGTAGTTAAGAAGATAAAATTAGATCACCTTATATATACTGTTTGGAGGGAAAATAGGACATAAATGTGAAAAATTAAGAAGTGAAGGAGTTATGACCCCCCCATGAGCAATATGTGTAAAAACTGGAGGTGAATATATGGGTGGCACACTCATGGTGATATGACAGCTAGGGCTCTGTTGAGCCCACAGCCATCTGCCCTCAAGCCTGAGAGGACCCTACACAAAAAAGCACTACCGCCTATTGGTTAAGGAATCGTATTAGCTTATGCTATTTTCCCCTTCAAAATTCCAGTCCCCTTCAGTACATTAGAGGGGGTAAAAGCTGCATGCTGCTCACGTCTTATTGTCCTCCCACGTTCCCATGGATAGTTTTTAAATGTTGGCATTATCCTCTGCTGAACAGTCAATTGTACAACAGCCATATTGAAAATAAGCTATTTTAAATGTGCTAAAGCTAAAAAACCCAACAACGCTGGGATCGTTAGAGCTGGAAGAAAAGATGTGTATTCTGTGTTCTGTGAATCAAAATAGGATGCATTTTCCAAGGCTGTTCATTTTATTACACTGGCTTTCTTCTCTGTGGGTGTGTGAGCAGTTACTGACAACAGGCTCAAAAATGGCTTTCTTCTGCCATTTTAACAAATATTTTTCTTCATTTGTGCACTCTGCTTTCTCTCAGTGAAGCTGTACTTCCGAGAAAAGCTTTCAGGACTGTGGAATCAATCACCCTTTCTATGCAGCGCAGAACAATTTTAGGTCTCCTTTATTGTAGCAACCACACTCATTTCAGCCTGGGGTGAGGAGAAAGTGTCTATTGTACCAACAGAGGGGGGGGGCATTGTTCAAACAAGGCAAGTGGCGGGGTACTTACCACATCATGTTTGTATGGGACTGTAAATTGTGTACTTCCTATTACAGATTCTTTGAGCATCTTAGTGGACTCTTTGACGGTGCCCAGCCAGGTCTCCACGCCAGATAGTGTAGCCTTTGCCAACTTGGTACCCTCCAGATGTTTTGGATTAAAGCTCTCATCAGCCTCAGCCACCATGCTATAATCCAAAACATCTGAAGGGCACCAGGTTGGGAAAGGCTGAGATAGTGCCCAGCGTTGCAGTCAGGCTCCTGGCCTTTCGTTTTTTTGGAAAATCCAATCAGAGGGGAGGCAACTGTTCGGGGGGGGGGGAAGCATGACTGATTTTTCCCCCAGACCAAAACCAGCACTCAACTGCAGGTAGAAACTGTTCTACCGAGTCATGTGCAGATGTGTTGCATTTTAACATTTTTAAAAGTACAGTTCCCCCCCCCCACAAAAAATTAAGCATAGCATGCTGATTTGAGGAGCTATGAAAACCAAATTGAGAATTTGCTCCTATCTCAGTAGAAGAATGGCAGATGAAGATGTTGGACTTTTTGGAGCTGGCCGACCTGTCTGGAAGAATCTGCGACCAGAAGGAAGAGGAGCATCAAGAAGATTGGAAGAAATTTAAAGAATATTTAGCCAAATATTGTAATATAAGATGTTAGAAGTTACCTTGAAAGTGCCAAACAGGCCTAGGATTAGACTAAGAATGAATTGTAAAAGATTAGGGACTAGATTATTAAGAAAAGAGAAGAGGATAGTAAATTGAAGGAGTTAATTTTATGAGAAATATGATTTTGGAGAACTGTTACAAAGTGATTCAGTGAAATTCAGTTAGAGGGGATTCAAGGAAGTCAGTTGACAATGAAAGTTAAATTGAGTTTTAGAAGTAATAAGTCTTTTATTTTTGTTTTATTTCTCTTTAGTACTGTAATGTATTTTCTTTTGTGTGTTTTATATGTTATGTTTGTGATAAATGTGGAAAATTAATTTGAAAATTTGAAAAAAAGAGAGAAATTGCTCCTATATAAGGGTAGAGGGGTGGGGGTTATATGGATTTGTTTTGTGCAATTTTAGTCCACTTTAATTGGGCAAGCCTACGTTTCCAGTATACACTTGAATCCTACCCGCAAAATAGTGAATGTGGAGACACCCTCGGTCAATGGAGTAGAAGGAGAAAAATAGTCCTTTCTCCTGTCATGAGCATAAGAAATTACATGGTCATTGTGTAGCAGGATAATTACCTAGACACCATCTTCTTCGATTTGTCCTTGAGGTCATTGCCATGCAATGTGGCCTTGGTATAGAAAGGTCTATATTATGTAAATAGGTCCTAAAAAGCACTGATTTCATACACAGAACTAAATCTTGGTCTTGCTTCCCTCTAGGCATCCAGGCCACCACAAGCAGAGAAAAGTGGCTTACGGGGTTTTGATGAAAAGGCATATGTCTCCTCAAAGCTGCTGAAGGCCGGAGAAGATCCTTATCGGCAACATGCCTTCAATCAGTTAGAGAGTGACAAGCTCAGCAGCGACCGGCCCATTCGAGACACGAGGCATTACAGGTATTGTATCAGACTGCTGCCGTTTACAAACCATCACCTTGTGCTAGACTATCTTTGCCAATCCTTGAGTCATCTTTCCTGTGAGGAAGACAAAAGTAGTGTTCCACAAGTAAAGCTAAGAAGGTCCATTTCCCCCTAGCGCAAGCTTTCCCTTTCTGTTTTGAACATGCAAAGATTATTAAGACTGCATGCAACGCAAAGAACAGGCATTTTAAAAATGTAAGCTGGCCATAGGTCCAGCCATGTCTGCAGAACCCAACTGGAAACAAATTGTCTATAGTTTTGTAGAAGTAGGACTTGTTGGCATGGTGCCATGGAGCTGTTCCTGCAACAGCAGGGTCTCTCCTGCCTACCTAGACGGTTGGTGCGTGGGGCAGGCTGGCAATGAGGTCGGGGTTGAGAATTTAAGTGTTTCAGCCTCTATGTGGAGGGGGCAAAACAAACTGCTTGGGATACCCAGAAGATGACCTCCTTCCATTTGTAGCTGCCCCGACTGTAAGACCTTAACTGGAGATGCCTCTCTAGGTTCCTCCACCTCATGAAGTGAGGTAGGTGGTTTCAAAGGAACAGGAGGGTCTTATTGGGGGTGGTTCCTTGCTTATGGAATACTCTCCCCAGGGACTTGCCTCGCACCAGGTTTTTCTCCACCAGGTGAATACCTTTATCTTCTCCCAGATGGTTTAGCCCTAAGAACTATTTTGTCATCTCTTGTTGGTTTGAAGTGCTACTTACTGATTTCATGCTATTGTGTGGTTTTATGCTGATTTTGATTAACTTTGTGTTGCTGTTGTGTTTTCATATTGATTGTTTTTAGTACTGTTTTGCTTAGACCAGCACAGTGGATAAGTTGCTTTTAAATGTTAATTATTCTTCATGAAATGCTGCAGCAGGCTAATGCTTTTACATGTAATTGCCACTTTTGGAACAAGCCGGGACCCTAAACTAGGGTTTGGAACTGAGTTAGACTTTTGGCTGGTAACCCTTAGTTTCCTAGTTCAGACAAAAGTAGAAACTATGGCTTCTTGGTTTAATTGATCAGCCTGTGAAAAGAGGAGCGAAGGGGCTTTATGCACAGGCAACAAGCTCATTCATACCTCGGCTTATTAAACTGAGATATGAGTGCTGTGTTTTCAATTCAGTTGCTGCATGAGGCATCTGGCTGGATACTGATATTGATTTTTAAAATATGGATTTTTGTTCATTCTTTCACAAATTTTGCTTTAGGACATTCATTATATGACCAGTTAGAAGAAAATCAGAAATACGTGAAAAAATCTATGTACACTCACGTCCGCCCCACTTCAGCCAAAGAGAGCAATTTCTGAGAATGGAAACATGAGTACCAATATGAGTCTTCATTATTGCTGTTTTGAAGCTACTGCTCACAATCCTGTTTTAAACCTGTAGACACCAGATTATTGTCGATTTCCCCACCGTGTTCTGTGTATATTCTTCCATTTCTCCAGCGTACCTCACTGCCGTTTCTCACATTTCTCCACTGCATTATGCATTCACAAACAGAAACTAAGTACAAGCCTTGATTTCCATACCCTTTCTAAATACCTTGCAAGTCGTTGCAAGACTGGACTGTTGAAGATTGGACCGGCAGCTGTACAAAAGAGCTGAAGGACTGAATATTCCCCCATCCATCCGCAGATAATTCGAGGCATTGCTATCTCCGCTGAATTGTAAGCTAAAGAATGATGTTAGAGGAAAGCATCTCAGCATTTACCAGTTCACAGTTATTTAAGTGCATCAGGAGATAAGATTATTTGAAAGAGATGAGGTGGCAGATAAGACTCTGAGGCTTTGGACTGTAGATTACTTTTATTATCAGCAGGCTACTGTTCAAAGCAATTGAGTTGGCAGGTCTATCTAGCATAAAGCCAAGAGCAGGATATGAATACTTCAACAATTCAGGCCCCCATTTGCAACATACATTTACAGCACTATTATATCACAGTCATGGCTTCCCACACAGAAACCTTGGAACTGTAGTTTGTTAAGGGTGCCAAGAGTTATTAAAGGTAAAGGTAAAGGTACCCCTGCCCGTACGGGCCAGTCTTGACAGACTCTAGGGTTGTGCGCCCATCTCACTCAAGAGGCCAGGGGCCAGCGCTGTCCGGAGACACTTCCGGGTCACGTGGCCAGCGTGACATCGCTGCTCTGGCGAGCCAGAGCCGCACACGGAAACGCCGTTTACCTTCCCGCTGGTAAGCGGTCCCTATTTAACTACTTGCACCCGGGAGTGCTTTCGAACTGCTAGGTTGGCAGGCGCTGGGACCGAACAACGGGAGCGCACCCCGCCGCGGGGAGTAGCTCTCTGGTAGGAATAGGGGTCTCCTAACAGCACCCTTCATGGACTAGTTCCCAGGATTCTTTGAGGGAAGCCATGACTGTTTAAAGTGGTATGATACTGTGTTAAATATACAATGCAGATGGGGTCTTGAGATTGCTGACAAATACCTGGAGACCATACATTTGAAATCTGAGTGTTTCGTTAGTGTCTTCACAAAATTATCGTTGCCCCCTCCCCCATGGAACACAAAATTCAAAGTTGCAAAGGTAAAAAGAAAAGAAAAAAGAAAAAATCAGCTGTTCCCTACAACTTGAGATCTTGGTTGTGAGTCCTGGAAGAATAGCTCCCTACCTTGCAGGCCTTTTTCTACCCGACCTGGGAGGGGAGGGCCCTGACTGGCTCCAGCTACAAAAGCTGAGGCTGCTGAACTGAATATTGGACTAGGGTATTGTTTAGCTGGGTTTGTTGGGGGGGCGGTAGTTGCTGTTGTTGATACAATTTTTTACCTTTCTTTTAGATCTTATAATTTAAGTGGAAATTGATTTCATTGTGCTTTTTTAATGTTTTGTATATGACTATTAAGTGTGGATGAGCTATGTAAATGCCATGTTTACCTGAAAATGCCTGGTTTACCTGGAACCAAGCTAGGTATATGCTGTATTGCCCAGGCCAAGCTGCTGGATTCAGGTCACTAGAGTGCTTTCACAGGCATGCGTGAAAACCCCCTTAACTGCTGATTATTATGACACCATTATTCTTTATCCTGCCCTTCCTCCACAAAGCTCAGTGTGATGCACATCATTCTCCTTTTCAATGTATCCTCCTCACAACTCTGTGAGGTAGGCAAGGCCGAGAAATGGTAACTGGCTCATGGTCACACAAGGAATGTCCTGACTGAACCCAATACTCTGAGTGCTAGAACAGCACTCAAACCATTAGATCACACCACTGGCTCTTAAGCGTTTAAGAGGCTTTATATAGCACTTTATAACATGTACAACACACTATCAAGAAGGTCAGTATTACATCCCTCACAATGAGGATGAAGATGAACTGTAATATTTATTTGGATATTCAGATACAGTAGTACCTTGGTTTAGGAATAGTCCTGTTTACAAACTATTCTGTTTACGAATTCCACAAAACCGGAAGTAGTGTCCCGGTTTGCGAACTTTACCTCGGTCTAAGAACAGAAGCCGAATAGTGGAAGGGCACCGGCGGCAGGAGGCCTCATTAGGGAAAGCGTGCCTCAGTTTAAGAACGGTTTCGGTTTAAGAACAGACTTCTGGAATGGATTAAGTTCGTAAATCGAGGTACCACTGTACTGCTTTTTCATTTAAAAAAACAAACCACAAAGCCATATACGGTACCATGCACTAGCTTTGGGTTGGAAATGCAAGCTGTACTATTTGCAGTACTTAAATCAGCAGACAATCGGATAAAACCCATTTTACAAGGAAATGTAACACTAAAAAGTAGTCATGAACAATCAGCACCAGGACAGAAGAGAAAACCAGAACATCAGCTGAAACTGCTCCAAGTATCTTCAGTGAGACTGCCCTCAGATAGACAGTTTTGCTGGTATGACTGTACTTGCTTACTGATAGCCCCCCAACAAAAAACACCCACACACTGGCAACAACAGGCTACCTGCCCCTGCGGCAGACCCAGATGCCAACTTTGTCCACACGCAACACTATTACAGGACCTAATAATGCTATTCACAACAATAATAATAGAGGTTTAAGCATTCGCCTCCTCATCTTCCCATGTGAAACACACACACACACACACACACACACACTCGTCTAAATTCTACATAGAACAAACAGACCAGTATTTATGCAAAATAATAAACAGATACAAATCTGACACCAGACATGGTAATATTCAAAAGCTAGTGGGGGCACTTTTCAGCCTCCAATGACACCCGCAATTTCCCTTAAAGTAGCAAAGGACCTTCAGGAGGGAGGCAGCAATGCAAAACTGCAGAATTAACAATGCATCAAGTGGTTCAATGCTATAACTTGTGGAGTGAACCAAGACAAATGATTTTTAGCACATTACATATGTTAATTGGCTTACCAATGCCAGGATATCTGTATTATTAGCAACTGTTATGCAAATTGCAACTGTTAATTATGTAATTATCACTGTCTGTCTGTACTCTCTCTGTTGTTTATGATCCGCAAACAGCCTCCACCCCACTGTGTGTGTGTGTGTGTGTGTGTGTTTAATATGCATGTAACTCAGGATAACACTTCATGCCTATGCTGAAGTGGACTAAGTGGATTGTAGTTCATGAATGCTTATACCATAATAAATTTGTTAGTCTTTAAGGCGCCACAAGACTTACTATGAGGGCTATCCCTCTGGAAAATAAAAATGCCTGTCATTTCTCTATATCATGTGGCCTTAATAGCATTTTAAAAAAACAGCAGAAAAAGAAAATGTGAATTAGTGCAATGATATACATAATGTGTCTTGTGCCTGATTCTAGTTCTTCCACTTACCCTTCATCAGAGCGTCTTTTTATGCTTAGAAATTGCAGTAATAGGCCACTGTCATAGTAATAAAATGCTGCGTTAAAAAATAGTTGTCACTTAGAGCGGCCATAAAACAATAGCAATGAACATTGGGATAAAAAATAGTAGCAGTTTAGTGATAGCCATAAACCAATACTAATAAATGCTAGAGCAATATATAGTTCAAATAAGTCCTGGGCAGAACAGCTATCTTTCCCAGCTCCTGGGGAAACGGAACTGTAAAAGTAGCCCTGATTGGCCAAATATATACCTTTGTCACACCCCTATTCCTTTGCAATGCCCCCTCTATGTCTTCTCTTTTGCTGTACCATGCTCCAAAAATCCCCTATTCTGGAGTTTCCTAGCCTTTCATGTTTCAGCACTTTATCTTATTGAATCCGTCCTGCAAGCTGGGTCTGTTGACGCCCTTCGTCTTGCTCTGCCAATGCCCACTTCTCCCCTGTGTCTTCACCTGTGTTTTAATAGAGTGTTTTCACAAACAATGCTAAAAGCAGCTGTTGGTCTCAACGTACATGTGTCATGTTGAACCATAGCTTAAAACAAACTATAGTTTAATGAGAATGTGCAGTGGGCTGGTGCTGCCACACCACCCAGAATACAGGCCAGAGTCACTTTGTTGTGTCACCTGAACCTGGGCTTATGATTGCTCTCTCTCAAACAAACGAGTAATGGTAGCCACAGTTTATTCTTGGCTGACTGCTTATGGGTTTGTTTGTTTTTGGAAGAAACAAACCATGAGTCAGGTTCAGACAATAGAAGCCAGACTCTGGTTTGTTTTGCCTGTGGTGCAGTAGCTGTATGGGAGGAATGCCGCATGAACTTTTTAACAGTGTGTACTAACGCACTGCTAATTTATGCTAAGTCATTTATATGCAAAATGGGGTTTTGTTAACATAAACCGCAAAGTGAAACAGACATTAAATGTGCATTCTATAATGTAGCTTTTAAAATTGACGTATGAACTCCAATTTTGACTGGTCTGAGGATCATTTACGTATAAAAAAATTGCCTTTTTGTTAGTTTTCGCTAAAAATAACAAGCCCCCCATTTTTTTTAGTAAAAAAACTTCAGGGAAACTGCATTTTGAAACTGGTTTTGGAGCTATTTGCAGTGTAATAGCTGAAACGAATGGAAATGGGTTATTGTTTTTGATTTGATTTTATATGTTGTGGTCTTGTTTGTGAACTGCCTTGAGACCTCTGGGTATAGGACGGTGTATAAATTGAACTAATAATAATAATGATGGTGATGATGATGATGATGTCAACAACCCATGTGGTGTGGGGCTGGCTCTGTACTACTAGCACCACTATGTGACTCCCACCAATGAAAGCTTGGAACCTCCCCTTCTCCATAATTATGGCCGATTCATAGACATCCTGCCATGTCATCCTATCAGCTGATGCTGGGCCTTGTATGAATCAACAGTGCAGCTGCTTCTATAGAGCCATAGATTGCCATAGATTTCCCTCTCCCAGCCCTTTGGAGAGAGCATGAAGCAGATTCCAAAAGGATGGGTTGGTACCAACTTTTTTTTTGTTAGTGCTGTTTGAAACCAACATGCTTGTTAACTGGTGTTACTGGCAGTTATAATCCGATGGATACTAAGTACCGCTGTCAGCACTGCCAGCGTGTGATGAATTGCACTCCCGTAATAAAAGAAGCTATATGGGGAAAAGGTTGGCAGGGCACCAAAATTCCGTTATCGGCTGTTTGGTAAAGATGTGCATGAGATTTTGTGAGCTTGGCAGCAGTTTTGGGAGTTTTACTTTCCTAGCAAATCCCCCATTTCATCACATGCTGTTTCTCTCTGTTTGTTACAGGTGTGCCTCTGTGCACTACGGTGCCGACCTGCCAGCAACCAGCATCATTATCACTTTCCATAATGAGGCTCGTTCCACCTTGCTCCGCACAGTGAAAAGGTAAGGCATGCTTTTAGCTCCGACGGGACTTGAGGTTTCAGCCCTAAACAAACCTGCTTGGAAGTAAATCAGCGAGGCTTACTCCAGAGTAAGAAGAGTTAAATCTGTCCTGCAAAACTGCAGTCCCAAGTGTATTTAGTGGGAAGAAAATCCTACTGGGCTCAGTGGGACTTATGCCCAAGTAACTTGGTTGCAATCTAGCTGTTTAGCTCATTTGATAGTCAAAAAAAGCACCTGAACCTCTGTTTGGATAAATCTGCAGACCATTTGCTCACTGGATGCTTGGTGATGGGAGTTAGCCCATATTGCCTGCTATATCCACAACCATCTTTTTCATAAACTGTGGTTCTGCTTGCATAATCACAGCATTGGTATCAATGTGTTAGAGACTCGGAGCCAAAAATTGGTTTTGTTTTTGTTTAAGCCAACTCCCAACAATATACCTGCATCCCATTCCCTTTTTAAACTCATTTAAAGTCCCCCAAACTGTAATCATCGGCTGTCACCACCATTCCAAATAGGCTGTTGTAAGAACTTCGGGTTATCCCAGTTTTTTTGTAGAGACCAGATTATATGTTCATCAGCCATGTATAGGACATATCTATGCAGGCTCACAGAATGAAATCCCCCAATGCAATAGATTAAAGTAGACAAGGGCTGAAAAGCTGAAGTCAGGAGACTTCCGGTCGGTGCCAGCGCTTAATGGCGGTCCTCCCTCCGAGCTCCGGAGAAGGACTGCTCCGCAAGTTCGGGTCTTACCCGCTACGGCGAGCGGGGGACCCCTAAAATCTCAGGCGCTGAAGCCTGAGAGCAAGGAGACTCGGTGGGCACCTTTGCGCCCCCCGGTACTGTGAAAGAGCCTTTTTAAAGGCTCCGGAGCGGCATCGGGAGTGAGCGCGGTGCTGAGAGTCGCTACCCAGCCTGCGGAGTGAAGCCGCGTCGCCATAAGCGGAGAGCGCCGATTCCTTCCTGAATGAAAATTTGGACTGAATTCCCGTGAGTAAGAGCTGAAAAAGAATTGGGACCCTTTAAATTCTGAAAATCTGGCTGAAAACGGGAGGGAATAAAATAAGGAAGTCTGCCCCCCCCGGACTGCAGAAATTTAAAGCAACGAAAGACCCCGCTGCAGTTATAAGAAACTTAGTTGCGAACTGTCAACCCTGAGCTGTCAAAAGTATCTCTTCCCCCCTGATCGGAGGAGAAGGGGGAAAAAAAAGACAGTCTTGCGAAGATACTTTCAATTTAAGGGAAACAAAGTTTTCCACTGCCTGGATCCACTGGGGACGATCTGCCAGGAGTTAACACCGGGAAAATTGTTCTTTAAAATAGGTTTGAAGTGGATATGGACTATGCCTTAAATGACGAACGTGTTTTAAGATTTGAATGGGACTTTGTTACAGATATTTGATTAGTCAAATTTACTTGGAGAAAAAGTTTTAAATAACTTTAATGGCGGACTTTTGACTTTTTACATCCGGTTTTCTGTTTCTTTGTTTCCTCTGAGTTGGACACTATTAATTGCTCCCTCTGGAGGACTAAGAGGGGAAAAACTGTAAAGTAACTGGCTGACAGTGGGATTTTCCATTGCAAGTTTTTCCTGTGAGAACGGCCTTGGGATATGAGTGGCACGGCAGAAGAGATAAGAACCAGATCTAAAACTAAAGTGACACAAAAGAAAAGAGGCTCAATCCCTGGCAACACAGGGCCTGAACCGGAAAGTGTGACAGCAGCATCAATGGAATCTATGACACAGGCACTGCTTAAAATAAATCAATCCCTAGAGGCCTTAACAAAGCAATCTACAGAAAATACAAAGAAATTGACAGAACTCACAGCAAGATTGGACTTAAACACCACGTCAGTGGCGACTAATACAGAATCTATAAATAGACTGATTCAGGAATCTACAGAAACTAGGAAAATTGCAGAGAGTGCAAGATCTATTGCTGGAGAGACACAAGAAAAACTTGCACCGATAGAGAAAAAGGTGAATGAGCATGAAGCGGCCCTCTCCTTACTGGAGTTACAACGGAAAGAACGGAATCTGAAATTAAGACAGGTTCCAGAGAACGAAAAGGACAACCTGACGGAATTCCTTACAGAGGCAATTTTGGAAAATTGGCAAGGAGAGTTGGAGGAGGACGAAGTAGAAATAACAACTGCTTTCAGACTTGGTAGAAAGCAAAGTCAGAAACCAAGGGATTGTCTGATTACCTTCAGAACCAAAGAGGGAAGAGACAAGATACTGGACCTTCATTACCAAAAAGCTTTGGTAATTGGAAACACCCAAGTCCAAATCTTTAAGGACATCCCTAAATACATCTTGGAAGTGAGGACCTTCTATAGAGACTTGGCCAATTTGCTGAGGAAGAATCTTATACCTTTCAGGTGGGAATTCCCACAGGGGTTGTCCTTTAACTACAAAGGGAAGAAAAGAAGAATAAGAACAGTACAGGAAAAAGAAAACTTCTTGGAAAGAAACCTAGAGACCTACAGAAAGGTACGGTGGGCCTGGCAGGAGGAGGACAAGAATCAACACCAGAAGGAGGAGGGCTAACAGACATTGCAAATCTATCATTTGGATTACCACAACTGCCAACTGAAGAGGAAGAAAAGCTTGGAGCAGTCGGAGGGTCAAATATCAAATAAATAAAATGTCTCTGCAATTTCTTAGCTGGAACTGTAACGGCTTGAACCATCCCAGAAAAAAACGACAAGTTTTCCACATTTTGAAAAAGGAACAACTGGATCTGATATGTCTACAGGAAACCCATATAACCAGAGCACACAGGAAACTGTTGGTGAACAAAAGATTAGGACAAGAATTTATATCTTCTGACAAAGTAAAAAAGAGAGGAGTAGTGATTTACGCAAAAGAAAAATTGGACCCAAAAATGAAATTCAAGGATGAAGAAGGAAGATATTTGGCAATCGAAGTACAGATTCAGGGAGAAAAATATTTGATAATTGGAGTATACGCACCTAATGATGGGAAGGCCGAATTTTTTAAGAAGTTGCATGAAACTTTATTGGACTATCTCGACTGCAAAATAATACTGATGGGGGACATGAACGGAGTGGTCTCCACAAATATGGACAAGGCACAAAGACAGACAATTTCTAAAGAAGGAAGACTACCAAAGACCTTCTTCGAGATGACGGAAAATATGGACTTGATTGATATCTGGAGAACAAGGAACCCTCTCGAGAGAGAGGGAACCTTTTTCTCGGAATCTAAAATGACATGGACAAGAATCGACCAAATCTGGGTATCTAGTGTGATGGCTACAAAGATAAAGAAAGTAGAAATCTGCCCAAAAACCTGCTCCGACCATAATGCAGTAAAGATGGAAATGAAAATGACAACAACTGGATCCTTTAGATGGAGAATGAATGACTCCCTATTTAGAGACGAACAATTTTGTAAAAAGGCCCTAAAGACATTAAAAGATTACTTTGAAATAAACTCGAGAACAGAAGTGGAAAAAAGAACAATCTGGGACGCGAGCAAAGCTGTGATGCGAGGCTTCCTGATACAACAGAATTCAATTAAAAGGAAAAAGCAAAATGAAAGGAAAGAAAGAATATTAGAAAAAATGAAGGAAGGAGAAAAGAAATTGAGGTCTAATCCAAAGTCTCAAGAAATTTTGAGAGAAATAAAGTATTACCAGACGCAATACATGGAACTGACAAATCAAGAGATAGAATGGAAAATTAAACAAATGAGACAAAGGACTTTCGAGTCAGCAGACAAATGTGGGAAGCTTCTTGCATGGCAATTGAAAAAGAGGCAAAAATTGAACACAGTCACCTGTTTGGAAATAGAGGGAAAGAATATTCACAAGCCAAATGAGATAAGTAATTGTTTTCAAAGCTTTTTTAGGAAACTATACACACAAGGGCCAGCGAATGAACAAGAAATAGATGAATTCCTCAAAAATCATGGATTACCTAAAATTTCAGAACAGAGCAAGTTGATTCTGAATGAGAAAATAACAGAACAAGAAATAGAGGAGGCCATTCAAAAAGCGCAATTGGGAAAGTCTCCAGGACCAGATGGTTTGACGGCTAGATATTATAAAGTTTTGAAAGAATGTTTAGTGCAACCATTGAAAGAAGTTTGCAATGAAATACTAGAGGGGAAAAAGGCACCCGAAACGTGGAAAGAGGCTTTAATTTCACTTATACCAAAAACTGAGACTGAAAAGAACCAGGTTAAGAACTACCGCCCGATATCATTACTAAATGTGGATTACAAAATATTTGCAGACATTCTAGCAAAAAGACTGAAGAAAGTATTGATAGGTGAGATTCATAAGGATCAAGCTGGCTTTCTCCCGGGAAGACATATGTCTGATAATGTGAGGAATATAATAGACATTGTGGAACTGCTGGAAATGAACATTAATAGAAAAGCGGTTTTGATTTTTGTGGACGCGGAGAAAGCCTTTGACAATATTTGTTGGAGCTTTATGAAAAAGAATCTCCAAGGGATGGGGGTAGGCCAAGGTTTTGAAAATGGTATAGGTGCTATATACTCTGAGCAGAAGGCAAAGCTGATTGTGAACAATGTGGTAACGGAAGAGATAGCCATAGAGAAAGGAACACGACAGGGATGCCCTATCTCCCCTCTACTTTTTATACTGGTCCTGGAAGTTCTGTTAAATATGATTAGAAAGGATCAGCTGGTTAAAGGAATTCAGGTCGGAACGAAAGAGTACAAACTGAGGGCATTTGCAGATGACCTAGTTCTGACTTTACAGCAGCCAAACACCAGTACAAAGAGAGTTTTAGAATTGATTGAGACATTTGGTCAAGTTGCAGGATTTAAATTGAATAAACAAAAAACTAAAGTGCTGGAGAAAAACTTAACAAATGAGGAGAAAGAGACATTTCAGAATGAAACAGGTTTGGAGATAGCAAAAAAGGTGAAGTACTTGGGGGTGAACTTGACAGCGAAAAATGTGAACTTATTTAAGGACAATTATGATAAATGTTGG